AGTGTCTGAGATGTTTGTCCAATGTACATAGCAGACGGACACTTTCGGCACATGATAGCATAAATTATATTTCTGGATGCGCAGGAATATGTGTTCTTGATCTTATAACTCACTTGGTTAGGTCCAATTATGGTATCAGCAGAGTGAATATGTGGTTCAGCTTTGTGAATATGTGGTTCACCCTCAGAACTGTCATTCATGCTTAAACTTGACACTTTACGCCTAAGTTTTGATTTGTCCTTTTCATATGTGTTCATTTTTTTAATTGTATCCTTTGGTATATATGGTTGTGACCATTTTCTTCCACTATTTGATCTGAGGAAGTGGGTCTGGCCCATGAAAGCTCATCATCTAATAAACCATCTTGTTAGTCTTTAAAGTGCTACATAGTCCTGTATTTTGCTTTAGCACTTTAAAGACTAACAAGATGGTTTAATAGATGTTGAGCTTTCATGGACCAGACTCACTTCCTCAGATCATATTCTGGAAAAGAATTGGCATGACCATATATACAAAAGGAATACAATGAAAAAAGTGAACACATTATTAAACTGACAAATCAGATTTAGTACAGAAGGTGGGGTGAGGGAGAGAGAGGGAGGGAATATCTATTTATGAGTCAATGAATGGCTAGTCAGGAGGGATAAGTGGGGAAGCTATCTTTGTAATGGGTAAGGTAATTAGCATCTTTGTTAAGGCCCATTCGTAAAGTGTCAAATTTAAGCATGAATGAAAGTTCTGAAGTTTCCCTCTGTAATCTGGTGTTAAAGTCTCTTTGAAGTAAGATGCATGTAGTAAGGTCATTAAGACTATGTCCAGGTAGGTTGAAATGAAAAGAAACTGGTTTTTCCTTGTGAAGATGTCTGATATGTGGGCATTAATTCTTTGGCTAAGTGTCTGAGAAGTCTGTCCAATGTACATAGCAGAAGGACACTGTTGGCATATGATGGCATAAATTATAATTCTGGATGAACAGGAATGTGACTCTATCTTGCACTAGCCAGTTACGCTCTGTCTCTGTGGACTGTGTCACTGGAGCGTGCTGCTGTAGTCCTCTTACATCAAGTAGCATATATAGAAAGTATGTCAAGAGACCACCTTGTCTGAAACAGTAGATCTTGCATGACCTAAAAAAATCAAAGAGGAGTCCTACAAAAATTGGAAACTAGATCAAATTACAGAGGATGAACATAAGCAAACAACACAAGTATTCAGGGGCAAGATTAGAAAGGCAAAGGCAGAAAATGATCTTGTTACTCTTTATGTCTCGAGGTAGATTGAGAAGACATTCTATAAATATCTTAGAAGCAAGGGGAAGGCCAAGGACAGGGTAGGCCCCTTGCTCAGTGATGAGGAATGAACAATAACAGGGAACTTGGAAAATGGCAGAGGTGCTTAACGACCTCTTTGTTTTAGTTTTCACTAAAAAGTTTGATGGTGACGGGATGCCTAAGATGGTGAATGCTAGTGGAAACTGGGTAGGTTTAGAAGATAAAATAAAAAAAGAAAAAGTTAAATATACTTAGAAAGGTTAGATGTCTTCAGGTCACCAGGGTCTGATGAAATGCAATGTAGAATACTCAGGGAGCTGATAGAGGAGGTATCTGAGCTGTTAGTTATCTTTGAAATATAATGGAAGTCGGGAGAGATTCCAGAAGACTGGAAAAGGGCAAATATAGTGTCCATCTACTCAATGGGAAATAAGAACATAAGGACGTATGTTCTTACATAAGAACAATCCAGAAAACTACAAACCAGTCAATTTAACTTCTGTGACAGGAAAGATAATGGAGCAGGTAATTAGGGAATTCATCTGCAAATGTCTGGAAGAAAATAAGGCGATAGGTAACAGCCAACATGGTTTTAATCTCCAGCATCTTCAGATTCAACCTGGTTGATTGTGAGAGTCTTTGGGGCTAGATTGCAGCACACAGGATCTTCCCAGAGAATAAGCAGAGGTATCTTTAGTAAGGGGACTACATATGCTTGAAGAATTTCAATAACTTCCACCCCACCATCAATCTCAGCCTGGAAAAGTCCACATAAGAGATCCACTTCCTTGACATTACAGTACAATTACACAATGGACATATTACCACCACCTTCATACTCAAAACCTATTGACTGTTACACTTACCTTCGTGCCTCTAGCTTCCATCCAAGACCTATTTCTCAATCTACTGTTTATAGCTGAGCCCTAAAATACAAGCAGATTTGCTCCAATCCCACAGACAGAGACAAATACCTACAGGATCTATATAGAGCATTCTTAAAACATAAATGCCCACCTGAAGAAGTGAATAAACAGATGGTCAGAGCCAGGAGAGTACCCAGACCTGAAATACTTCAAGACAGGCCAAGAAAATAAAATAACAGAACATCACTTGTCATCACCTACAGTCTACAACTTAAATCCCTCCGATGAATTATCAGAAATCTAGAACCTATCCTGGAAAATGACCCTGCACTCTCTCAGGGTATGTCTACACTACAGCATTATTTCAAAATATCTTATAGTATAGATGCTGTGGCGACTTAGCTTAAGATAAGCCAAATGCAGCTATGCGTTTTCCATAGCTCAGTGGCATGTCTTAAGCCAACCTGTCTCGTCTAGTGTAGACATAGGCTGCTAATCTCTCTTTTTCAGCTGGTTGTGAAGATAAAATCATATTCTTAGTTACTGCCTTTGAAAAGGGTGGGAATCCCAGTGGGAAGATAAGCAGGCTATAAATAGTTTAAAATTGTAGGTGGCTTTCTGCTGGTGCCTGTCTAAAGCATTGCTAATGCCTTTACTGGCCTTGGAGTCAGTGATGTCTCTACTTCCAGGAAATATTGACAGGGACTTTGGGGACTGCATCATCACAATCTGCCCCAGGATGCTGAAACTACAACCCAGATCTAAATTTCCATCCACCTCCAAGTCATCTTTTTTTTCCAGTCCAATATGTAGCCTATTGGACAAAATCAGCACTTAATAAAATGTATGTTGATCTAATGAGCTCTTTTTTCCTCCCTGTAAAAGGTAAGTTCACGTGCATATATGTGTGAGGGGGAGGGGAGGAAGTATGAGATGCAAAACAACTCTATCCAATAACTGAATTATTAATTAAGTGTTAGAATCCCTAATTATTAATTATGTGTTAGAATCTAATTACATGTCAGAATCCCTGTCCCGAGGATGGAGCATAAGCATATGGAAGGATGGGAACAAAGGGGTCAATTGCCCTGAGGTCTAGGCAATTTAAAAGCACCTGGGGGTCCTTGGCCACCACCAGCAGCAGCAGCATAGCAGGGCTAAGGCAGACTTCCTGCCTTCCTTTGCTCCATGTCCTTACGGCACTTGGGGGGTGAGTTTCCATTTGCTCCCCCATCCCAAGCACCAACTCCACAGTTTACATTAGCCAGAAACTGTTGCCAATGGGAGCTGTGAGGGTGGTGCCTGTGAGTAGTCAGTGGTGTGTGGAGACCCCCTAACTCCTCTGTCTAGGAACTCCTGCCACAGGCGTATGCTGGTTGCTTTCAGGTGCTGCCTGAGGTAAATTCTATCCCCTTCCTGCCCCCAGAGCCTGAAGCCCCTTCTGCAACCAAATTTCTCCTCACAGCCTGATCCTTTATCCCCTCACACACCAAAACTCCTTCCCACAGTCTGCACCTCCGCCACTCTAGTTTGGTGAAAGTGAGTGAAGGTGGGAGAGAGTGAGAGACAGAGGGAGGGGGGATGGAGTTACTGGGGAGACAAGGCCTCGAAGAAGGGGCAGAGTAGAGAGTGGAGCAAGGGACTGTGGGTTTGTGCAATTAGGTAATTGGCAACCCCATCGGGCAGTCATGTGGAAGCCCTCACCGGGATGCAAGCGCATTCCGAACAGTGCAGCCAGCAGCTCCCTGGGCACCACCGCACCAACCAAATGCCCGATGAACTGTGTCTGTGGGAGCGATGCTTGTGCGTGGGTGTGTGTGGGGGGGGGTTAATGGGGCCCATTGATTGTTCTGCCCTGGGGCCCAGAGTTGCTGTCAGTGCGTCTGACTTTGAGATAGCAGCAGCTGGAGAGAAACGTTGATTTTCTACAGGCATCAGCGGTTACAGTGGGGAACAGAAACTGAAGAAAGCAGGGAGAGGTTTTTGTATTGGTCTGTATCAGTGTGAGAGGCCAGCTTTGAGATTGTAGACAGTAATAATCTCCAGCATCATCTGCTTCAACCCGACTGATGGTGAATGTGAAGTCGGTGCCAGACCCACTGCCGCTGAACCGGTCTGGGATCCCAGAGGGACGGCTAGAGGCTTGATAGATGAGAAGCTTAGGTGCTTGTCCTGTTTTCTGTTGGTACCAGGACATCCAGTTGCTAGCACTGGAACTGGCTTTGCAGTTGATAGTGATTCTGTCTCCTGAAAACACTGCCAAGGATTGTGGACTCTGAGTCATGACAATTTGCCCTTTTGCATCTGGATGAGAGAGAAAAGCATTATAAGAAAAGACAAGGGACATGCAGATTTAGTTTTATAATAGCAAATACCTAATGTCTCCTTTTCATTTAAATTGCTTAGTCACTCTGTTTCCAATTGAATATCTCTGCCTGGGATCTCATGGGAAGAAGAATTAATCTGGGTTTGATGAAGAAATCTATGATAAATATTGGTCAGAGATCATCAACTTAATCTAATGTGCCCCATCATATTCTTACCCTGAATCCAGAGCACTAGGAGACAGACGAGTTGAGTCTGTAAATTCATTTTGGATCTTCTAGTCTGATGGACTGTGAGAATCCAAGCCTGGCAAATGACCCTTTTATATGTGCCCATCGTTGCAAGAGACACTTGTGTGGGTGGAAGTATGCAAAGCAGCTGCTCTGCATAAAGGTCCATTCCCTGTGCCCTAGTGCAAAGAAAAGGCTTCGTACAGCTGTCAGCTCAAAATGCAGCTCCTCTTGATGGAACTGAGTATTGTGCACATGGAATGGGCTATGGCCTTGTTACCAACCTATGCTTCAATATCCAGTGTTACCAAACCAGTAGTGTTGGTAATTCTGAGCGTGAATCTAAGTTGCTTGTTTGGGGGAGTATCTCACTGTTCTATCACTTCTATTGATATCACTGGCACTGCCTGTGGGGTGAGGAACTATTCAGTGTGAGCGTCACCATCTGCACTTTCCAGGATACACACTTGGTTCAACAGTTGTTTTTGGCAGTGGCATTCTGTCAATACAGGCGACCTAGGTGGTCGCCTAGAGCACCAAGAAAAATGGCCATTGAGGGCTTTGGAGGTGGGGGCACTGATTGAGTGTATCATCTAGGGCACCAGTTGCCAACAGTTCTTCTAGGACCACTCCTGGTTGTTGGATCACCGGTAAAGCCCTTTACCCCTCTGATCTTCTTTGGACGCTTAAC